AGTAATAAAGATTTAGATAAAAAGAAAAACACCTAGCTTCTACTATAAGTTCCACTATATCTATGGTGATGAATTAATTAAAACATTTTAAGGCAGTGTCTAACATGTGCACTCTTTTGTTATCAAAATGAGGATTAGGGGCTGGTAATCTTCCGTTCATCAGATGTCGTTCATTGGGACAGGTTTAGGAAGTGAAAAAATGATGTTTGTCGGTACTAATTATTTGTTTGCGCATCAAATATTTGTTTAGATATTTAAAAAATATAGTGCTGTGAAATAATACATTTTTATTTTATACCTAAAAATGACGGTAAAAGTAATAAATTAAACAATGTAAATTTGTAGATTTTCACATGCGTAATCAGCACCCGATATCAGTTTATCTATAGAGGTTATATTTATTTACATCGTAAATAAATAATTAAATAACTCCATAACCTCAGCCGCAGCGTCCGCTCGACAGTGCAACTTCCCTAGTACGCTAGCGCTTTTTTCTTTAGTTGGCAACATTCTACGACCGTTCGAGATGAACAAGCCGATCATCAACACAAATGGTTATGTATATTTAGGGTATATTGGGTGTGTTTATTAAAAGTGATGATAATATTCTAGCAGTTTCAACACCTATGTTTTAAATAAAAATTATACGTTTCTAGAGTATTATATTATACACATACACAAAATATCCTCAGTGGTATGTTTCTTAATATATTTTATATTTTTAACTATTTTTTTTTATTTTTCTACTTTTAGGAATATTCGTAGTTTGGATTATTCATTTCTATTCTAAATAAAATATTTTTTTATAGAGTAAGTCCACCTGATGGTATTTGCTGTGTCCCGTAGACATCTACATCTATCTATCTATGTGAGGACTAAGATGGAATGCCTCGTTTCCAGCAAAAAGGGTCTCCGGTTCTCTACACTCACCATACGAAACACAGCAGCATTAATTCCCCGGTCGAGCCGACCCATTCATGATACAACTATACCACTAATATAGCTGCAGCATGGTACCACATATAAAAAATAAAACTAATATTACAAAAAGAAGCGTTATCTTTTAAATTTTCCTGACAAATTAACTTCCCTCGCTATGAAATCTGCATATAAATACTATATTATAGTATTCTATAGAATTCTGTCAAAATTTCACACAAGTAGCGCCACCCCGGTGGAAAAAGTCGGGGATTTACTAAAAATAATTATTGTAAATAATGATACACTAATGTGGGTGTTTGGCAAATACAGTCAGGAAACGCCTTCAATGAGGAATTCACGCCGGCTTAAAAGATAAATCGTCTCCCTTCATTGTTTATAGTTGGTGTAAATTCTTTATTTTTCAATTTTAACTATCTACGTATTTGTGTATGATTGTCTTTATTGTATTTAAAATGCGATTGTTAAAATAAAACAATTAGTGCGGTGGGTAAGGTTCACGGTCAAGGGTTCGATTCCTGGGTCGAGTCAAAATCAATTATGCGAGAGATTAACTATATGTGGACTGTATATTTGTGTAATTGTTCATGGGGGTATATGTAGTAATATACAAATATACCTCCCATGAACATTTACAATTACAGCGTTCGGGAAATTACGACACATCTTCTCGTCAGGTATACCTCAATCTCTGGTAACTAAAGTGTACAACCAGTGCGTGTTGCCAGTGATGACTTACGGATCAGAGACGTGGTCCTTCACTGCTGGCCGTATGAGGACGCTCAAGGTCGCTCAGCGAGCTGTGGAGAGGGCTATGGGAGTTGCGTTACTCAGAAGTGAGGATATCCGCAGTAAAACCAGAGTGACCGACATAGCCCAACGGATTAGTAAGCTGAAGTGGCAATGGGCCGGCCATATAGCTCGAAGAAACGATAACCGATGGGGAAGAAAGGTTCTCGAGTGGCAGCGTCGTACCGGTAGGCGTAGTGTAGGCCGACCCCCCCCCCCACTAGACGGAGTGACGACCTGGTAAGACATGCAGGAAGTCGATGGATGCAGGTGGCTCAGGACCGTGCTTTGTGGCATTACTTGAGGGAGGCCATAGACCTCACCCAAGTAATGCCACAAAGCACAGTGTGTGCACAGTTCAGCAGTGGACTTCTGAAGGGCTGTAATGATGATGATGATAAGTACCGTATATGCGTGATTCCCCATAATCAAAACAAGATGGCTGATGTGGCACGTGTCAGGCTTTGGACAATGCACTCGCTATTACCTAATCTATTACATCTAGCCGGTGCCCTTACACGGGAACTAAATATGAGCTGTTAGTAAAAGAGGATACAATAAAGAGAAAAACAAAATAGGCCAGCTACTAAGCAACTGAACAAAGTACGAGGGTACTAGTTTTCCGCGCAACCAACAATATTTGTTTTAATTTAAATTAAATTATTTCTCTTTATCAAAATATAATTTTAAAATTTCTCAAACATGCAGGTTTCCTCCCTTTGATTTTCATTATTGCTGAACACGTGATAAATAATCATTAATTTGGTGCCGGCTGGGATCGAACCCGGGTTGCTCGTGTTATATAATATTTACCGCGGGCGCTTAGCCCAAGAGCTAGCACCGCTGAAGCCTAATATAAGACTAGTTAAAAAGAAATACATACAGTTTCACATGTTGGAGTTATGGATTTGATACTCAATAACTTTATTGCGTTCCATAGATTACAAAAGGTGTTACATAGTTTTATGATATCTCTATAGATCCTGATGAGCACAGCAATATTATGAAGGAGGAACATTTATTTTTACTTTTTATCGTTAATAATTATTTTTTCATTATATTACATAAACATACACACATTGAATGGAATCTATTTAATTGTTATTATTTATTAATTGATTTTGACATTTAATTTACTATTATAGGTAGTATAATTAGCACACACACACAACGAATTTTTTATTGTAATTTTTTATTGTAATAACCCACTCAAAAATTCAGAAATAAATTATAAATTCCAATAAAATGTAAATGTCATAGTATAGATCGGAAACAGAAGGTTTCTAATTTTTGGAATTAATTAATTTGCCAAGTAGTGGCGGTGTAAGAATACCCACTAGCCCACATCATCCCGTGGGTGTCGTAAGAGGCGACAGAGGGAAACTAATCAGGAGATGGGAAGACGCATTTTCCTGAAAACATCCTGCCTGCCCAGCTTGCAAACTATGGCAAGTATCTGCCCTAAGAGGCAATCTGTGGGGAAACCTATGTCCAACAGTGAACATTTGATTGGTTGTTTTTTTATAGGATAGGGTGACACACGAGCACACAGTCCACCTGATGGTAAGTGACTGCTGTGGCACATAGATATTTATATTTATGCTATACCTTTACACGAGCAATTCTTGTATGTATATATAATCCGAATCTCGGAAACGGCTCCAACAATTTTTATAAAATTTTGTCTGCAGGGAGTTTCGGGGGCAATAAATCGATCTAGCGTGCTATGATTTATGTTTATAAAATGTCTTTTTGTCCGTATTTTTAGGCAATGAAAAACTGCTACAATATCGTTAGAATAAGAAGGTAAATTTTGACAATTTATTAATGATTACAAATAGCTTAATTGGTATATTGGGCGGTCACAAAATCGTAATACCGTGGTTCGAGTCCAGACCGACCGGCCGATGTTTTTTTAATTTTTTTTTCAAGTTCCTTTCTATTTTGAGGAAATCAATTTTTTCCGATCCCTTTTTTAGTATTTTTTAAAAACACGAAACTTTAAATTAAACTAATCGCACTCATGATTTTTTATTCAAATAACCAGTTCAGTTTTTTCTATTATGTCGCTACGATCAAATAATATTATTCTTATTTCATCAGTATGTAATTTGTATCTTAATATAATTTCCAAAACACACGAATTAAAAAAAACCGAGCGAAAAATACCGAGCAAAGCTCGGTCGACCGGGTACTCTATATTTATCCTCGATTAAGAATCAAAATGCAGATGCCTTGTCACCCGTGAGGACTAAGATGGAATGCCTCGATTCCAGTTAAACGGGTCACCGGATCTCTACACTCACCATACGAAACACAGCGGAATTTTACGCTGGTGTTCTGTGAGAGCGTGGTCCTACCCCGGTCGAGCCGACCCATTCGTGCTACAACCATAATATAGCTGCAGCGGGTCTCTACCACGTATTAAACTGTAAGTTCATTTGTAACTTCAGTTTTACGAAAAAAGGAAAAACAAATATTCATTTTTTTTAGAACTCCCAAATTTTTCATCGTAATCGGATACGTGTCTTAGAAAAACATATTTATATTGGATCAAATGAGATTATTAATAGAGTGACGATTAATTTTTCCATATTGCAATAATAGTAGTGTAATAATTTATTTAGTTCCAGATATAAATATACTTAATATAGTACGTAAGCATAATATGATTAACTTCCTTGTAACTCAAAAACTACAGCCTCGTTTGCATAGATGGCTTTGTGATACGATAGCTGTTCATCGGTTAATCAAATAATATAGGGTCAAAAAGGCGATGCTTTATCGACACCGTTTTGACAGTTGAAATTATAGTAAATATTTTAGTCTATTTTAGTATGGTGTAGTGTAAGGATTTTTTTAAGTAGATTTTTTAAAGTGTACCTAATTATTGCCAAAACTTGTATTTTTGTGCTGTGTATTCTTTTTATATAATAGCGATAGTATACGACTTTGTTTTTGTCTCTGTCCTTCTCCTAGTTTTGGTTTTGTGACCATGTTACCATCACGTACCTTAGTAATATTAAGCGTATTATACAATAGTATTAGAATTTAATTCAATTTTTAGTTTATAAATGTCACAGCCATGGCTGCATCATGGTAAATTAGTATTCTATGACACGCTGAAACTTGACAAAACTTAACCTGAGAGAGAGCTAATTATAATAGCTATGTTAATACCTATTTATTACTTTGAGAAGTTAAACGGTCGATTTCATACAGTAGTATATAAGGTACAATTTCAAAAGTTAAGATAGCTAAATACTACTTACATGTCATCGCTCGTGGCGGCTTCAGTCTCGACAATCTCCTCAATGCTTTCTTCCGCTTCCTCGTCGTCTATTACTTCGGCAATTTCTTCCTCGCTATCACTCTCACTGACCTCACTTCCCTCAACGTCTATACTCTTCTCATTAGACTCGTCGGTCTTTTCACTGATCTCTATAAAACCACTGTCACTGTTGTCACTAGAAATCCTTTTGAGTCCATCGTCGAAACATTCCACTCTTATTTTTATAGGATCATTGTCATCGCTCACACTTATCACTGTTTTGTTGTCGTCCTCTCTCGAAACAACAACACCTCCCAGCAGTTCGTCGTTGTCTGGAATCGCATCCTCTAGATATTCACTCTCTTCTTCTTCAGAAGTGAGTGATTCAAAGGAAGAATTAATCTCAACGTCAGTCTGCTGTTCTCCATCATCGAAAACGACGTGTTTTCTGAACGTCACTCGTTTTTTACCGTTATCTGATCTATCATCGTCGGAACACCCCTCCGTGTCTGATTTGGGAAGTTTCAGGTTCGATTTCTTTTTATTAGAAGGCGAATCTAAACTGTCCGTCTCCGTTTTATCTTCCTTTTCTTCATTAATATTGTTCGTTTCATTCTCTTTTTGAAGTAACTTATCCAGTTCGCCCTTGAGGCCATTTTTGTATGAGTTAATTGCTTTGTCATTGACTGTTTCATACACAGGATCGTCGGGTTTGCTGTCACCGTTGCCCATTGGTTGTTTATTCTCATTGATTTCGTCTATAGTGCAGTCTATGCTTCGCGCTATCTCGCGCAACAATGCCTCAGCATGTCGTTTTTCGTCCAAATCTGGCTCATCCGAGACGTACACAAGCGACACGTGTTGTTGTTTTGTTTCGGGCTTGCTCGCGTATTTCTGCAGGACCAGAGCTTTGACGAAATCGGCTGGATCGGACGGGGAGCGCGCTCCGACTCGTATATTTTCGGCCGGCGTGGGCGGCACATCTTGTGAACGCTTCAAGTCGGAATTGCTACGTTGCAAATTGGACGTCTCTTTCTGGGGACTGACGCGGCATGAGTCCGCTCGCGCTTTCTTCCTGCACCTCTTACGTTTGCCCGCCATTATTTGCAGTAATGCGCCTACACCCGTCTTCTGATTATAGTCAATCTCCGGTATGAGCAAGTTCACTACATCTTTTCGTAGTGTGCCCGAATTATCGTTCGTTACATCATTGTCGTTTCGGGGAGCGCGCGTGTCGACTGAGCTGCGTCTAGCCGCATCCTCTGTCGGTAGATTTCGGCTTTTTTCGGGCGTCTCCGACGCGGCCTCGGCCTTAGTTTTCTTCTTAAAAAAGTTGAACATGTCTCGCGGAGTCAACGGCGATCGTTCATGTCCGCGCGACAGAGAGTTTCCTTTCGAACTGTTTAAAATATCCCTGAAAGTCGGATCCATTATTATTTATGTTGTGAAATGTATTTTTTTTTGCTTGCGATGTTTTGTTGGGTGTTTATGTATCGGTAAAGCTCGCGGTGAGTTTAATAAACAGTGCATTAGTTAAATAAAACAAATTGCTTTGCTTGCTTGGCAATGGTCTGAGAGGTTTTGCTGAAAGCGTTTTCCTTTGCGATTTTCCGAGGTGATCCATCATGCATTACCCTCAATTCGCACTTATCGATAGAATTTACGATCGATCTTAATATTAGTAATGTTTGCAGTACCCGATTCGTATCTAAGCGTCTCAAATATTATTTTAATGTAGACGATATAAATATATCAAACAAATCTCAAAATAACGATGCCCCTTATAATGTAAAATATTACTTTCGATAATTTCTTAACGATACTAAAGTAATCCATTTTAATGACATAATTATTCCTCATCAAAACTATTCAACGAAATCGAAACGCACCTAAAACATCTACAATGAATGGAAACAGATCGTGTTCATCGTTGCGATTTGTGCGCAGTCTTAAATTAGTCGACTAAATTTAAACATGGCGACTGCTTTGTTACTTTTAAAAGTGCCTAAAGGAAGTAATCTTATAGGTTGAGTTTTCTTTGGTAGCTTAAGAGTCCGAGAAAATATATTTTATTATGGTAAACAACTTGTTTTGCTCTAGGTAGCAAAACTTGAATGAATGCATATACTATTTTTGTATACTACAAAATAAAGATATATATACTTAGACATTAAAATTAGTGTCTATTTGTAATGTCAAAACAACAGTCTTTTACTAAATGCATATGAAAGTATAAACGGTGACTATAATAAAAATTTTTTTTTAAATTTTTGTTTATCTGTCAGTCTGTCTGTTTGTTTGTTCCGGCTTATCGCCGAAGCGGCTGGAGCGATTTTGACGCGACTTTCACTGGCAGATAGCTGAAGTTATAATGAATAACGAAGGCTACTTTTATTATAGAAAAAGAAATAGGGTTCCAGAGCAATAAGCAATAGACGCCGTGGTGTCAACTGGTGCTGGATCATGCAAACTTAACGGCGAACTTGAACGTGAGTGGTCTATATGGATGCACTGCTAACTGGATGCCGCGCCGCTTCAAGTCATCTTATTCACTACCTCAGAATACAGAAAAAACTTTTTTCAAAACGTTTTTTCTGTATTCTAACTTAACTACGTGTTTTGCTCAATGAGAAAACAGAAACTACTATTTAAATATTCTGAAGACTCGTGCTGTCTGACAATATGCATTGGAGTAACGCACTAGACTTATTTTTATAGGATAAGATACGAGCACACAGTTCACCTGCTACATCTATCCTTGATTAAAAATCTAAATGCAGATGCATTGTCACCCGTGACGACTAAGTATAGAATGCCTCGTTTCCAGTAAATAGAGTCTCCGGTTCTATACACTCACCATACGAAATTCAACAGCGTTAATCTGCTATTTTACGCTGGTATTCCGTGAGAGCCTTTACCCGTCGAGCCGACCCATTCGTGCAATAACTATACTACTAATATACCTGCAGCGTGGCTCTACCACGTACAAAACACTATTACTCTCTCAGCAATAAAGTGAGGTCTGGGAACAGCAGTACAAGGTACGATTAGCTTTTAGGTAGGCTGCATAAACAAAATTTAAACCCTGCGGTTTTAACGTTAATAACAACATCTAAACTCGATATATTTTAAAGAATTCGCATAAAAATAAAGACATCAAAATACATGCTGGTATTAAATGAGAATATGATCCTTCCCTGGTCGCTAAATTACTTCTGCTACAACGAAAATATAGCGGCAGCGTGGCTCTACAACGATAAATCTCGTGCTAAGAAAAAAAATTGTAAGCTACTTTGAAAACGGAACTTTTCGTAACCATTGAATGTCGTAAATCAAAGATGGCGTTGCCACATCGTTTTTATAGCCACTCAGTGAAAATAGCTACATGGTAAACCTACAAAGGGACCGCAACATTAAACTATGTTTTAGCTTCGTTTATGTTTCGCATAAAATTATTTCCAAAGATAAAGATAAAGATATTTTATTTTGCAAATATGGGTACAGTACATGGTAATATTATAGATAGTGAGGTCAGCCATATTTTACCAGTAGGCATGCAAAATATACAGAAATATAAACTAACCACCTAAAAAGCTATAACAAAATAAAATAATAACACAAAAACAAACATAATTCAGATTTTTAACATTATGCAGTCTTAAGCTCAAAATAAAAAAAATCAGTCAAGAATTCTGTTACGCTATAGTATCTATGCTTTGACTGTCAAGAAGCTTCGAAGGCTTTTTTTAAATATCGATAGCGGCAATTCTTTACAGCTTGTTTTGTAATAATACTCTTGTATAAAATCTCAGAATAGTTAATAGTAATTTACAGCTATAATAATACTGAGCCATCAATCAAAACTATGTTGTATATAACATCACAAATCACTACTATGTTATACTAGCGATTCGCCCCGGTTTCGCACGCATGATTTCTGTATTTCGACAACAGCACCACCTACCGGGTAGGCTGCATAAACAAACCTACCTACCTACCGGGTCCTACTGTGAATGTAACGCATCCTGTGACCCACTGAAACACATACAAAACAAGCAAAAACGATCCAGCCGTTCTCAAGTGATGATCTTTCATATATACGTGGTCATGTCATTAAGACAGTTACTGTTTTATGCAAATATGAAATAACGTTACATACTTATCTGAAATAAACTTCAAATGACGTTGGCAAAATGCGCACATAAATAATTACGTGATTTTTTACGTGGTAGAGCCATGCTGCAGTTATATTAGTAGTATAGTTGTAGCACGAATGGGTCGGCTCGACCGGGGAAGGACCACGCTCTCACAGAATACCAGCGTGAAATAGTAGCTTAATGCTGCTGTATTTCGTACGGTGAGTGTAGAGAACCGGAGACCCTTTTTACTGGAAACGAGGCATTCCATCTCAGTCCTCACGGGTGACAACGCATCTGCATTTTGATTTTTAATGGAGGATAGATGTAGATGTCTCTGGGCCGCAGCAACCACTTACCATCAGGTGGACTGTGTGCTCGTTTGTCACCTTATTCTATAAAAAAAAATACACCGTTTTCGTACATATACGTGGTAAAGCCACGCTGCAGCTATATTATAGTCGTAGAAGAAATGGGTCGGCTCGACCGGGGCAGGACCACGCTCACACAGAATACCAGTATGAAATAGCAGCTTAATACTGCTGTGTTTGGTATGGTGAGTGTAAAGAACCAGAGACCCTCTTTACTGGAAACTAGGCATTCCATCTTAGTCCTCAGGGGTGACAGCGCATTTGCATTTTAATTCGTAATCGAGGATATATTATGTAGTTGTCTATGGACCACAGCAACCACTTCATCATGAGGTGGACTGTGTGCTCATTTGTCAGCCTTATCCTATAAAAAATAAGATGGAATGCATCGTTATCATAAAAAGTATTTCAGTCCCTGTCTTTAAACATATGAAACACGGTAGTAGCATTATGTTGCTATATATTTTTTTATTGAAATTGAAATGATCTACGACTTTATCTAATTGTGGCTAATGCAGTACAGACTATAGGACACTTTAAACAAAGAAGGCTATAGATAAGTTGTCACCTCTGGAGACTAAGATAGGTTACCTCACAGTAATTATACTGACTCTCTAAACCTTTCAGACCGTGAACACAGCAGTTCAATCACAGAGCAATGCAAACACAGAGCAGTGCAAGCACTGAGCAGTGCAAGCACAGAGCAGTGCAAGCACAGAGATATTTAGCGACAGAAATAAGTAAGGGAGTGTTACCCACCTACCCAGGGGAGCCCTACTAACTAGGTTATATACAGGGTTATTTTGCAATAACCGGTCAAATTTGCAGAGAAGGTTTAGAATAAGTAGTATAGGTAAATGGTGAAGAAAAATCATTTCACTTTTTTTAACTATCTGTCCTTTTTATCTTTAAAATACAAATTGCGTGGTAATGCATTATTTTAACTGATTTTACTGCGCACGCACAACTAAAAACATTATTACCCATAAAAAATCACATTCAATTTGGGATAATTTCAAATAAAAGTAAAAGCGATATTTACTCATTTTTTACGTGAGCTACGCTACAGTTATACTATAGTTGTAGCACGAATGGGTCGGCTCGACCGGGGAAGGACCGCGCTCTCACAGAACACCAGCGTAAAATAGTAGCTTAATGCCGCTGTGTTTCGTATGGCGAGTGTAGAGAATCGGAGAACCCTTTTACTGGAATCGAGCCATTCCATCTTAGGCCTCAGGAGTGACAACGTATTTGCATTTTGATTCTTAATTGAAGATAAATGTGTATATCAATGGGCCACAGCATCCACTTACCATTATGTGGACTGTGCTCTTTAGTCACTCAATTCCATATAAAAAGTAGAAATCGACTTCGTAAACTAGAGATTGAAATAATTTTCACGACAGCTTTGTCTTCAGAAACTTACCGTGTAAATTATTATAGTTTACTCTCTAGTTTTCAAAGCGGGTTTTAATTTTTGTTAAACGTATAGTATTTTCCAATTTGAATGTAATAAGGAATGTCACAAGCTATAGGCATCAACTCGAATGTTGTCTAAATAATTACATTAAATTTTTAATGTAACGGTCACTAAACAGTATGTTAGGGCTGAATCTGTGTGACAGGGTGAGGAATTGTATGATAAAAGAAGAGTGTGGTTTGCAAGATGATGGACCAGGATTAAGAAAGGAATGCTTCGGTGGTTTGGTCATGTAGAAATAATGAATGAGGAAAAAGAGACAAACAAATTTATGTTGCAGAAGTGTATGAAAGAGTCGGAAAGGGACGCCCTAGGCAAAAGTTCATCAACCAAATTGGCGATATATTGAAAATGGGGCAAACTGGGAGTACGCTTAACCGACGAGCATGTGTGTCTCTGCCTCTGCCTACCCCTCTGGGTGACAGGCGTGAGGGTTTATGTTTA